ATATATATATATATATATATATATATATATATATATATATACATACATATATATATATATGTATAATATATATAATATGTAAGGCGAATACATGTGGATTATACAGAGACCATAATCACGTGTGTGGCATATATATATATGTATGTATATATACATATATATATATATGTATATAAATATGTGTAAATATATATGTATATGTATATACGATTCATACAGGTACAGCGAGCGTGCATGTAGATATACTCATTTGTATATAATAGTATATTCATGTATATAAGATCTTTCCCAACCCTTGTGAGACTCGCTTGCCTTTTCAAGGGCTGTCGATGTTGGTTGCACAGCTAAATCAACAAACAGAACTCAGTCATAATGTATAAATGCAGCTCGCCATCGCTCACCTTTCTCTCTCTCTCTCTCTCTCTCTCTCTCTCTCTTTCTATCTCCCTCACCGTACGTTGCTTATTTCTGATCAATCTTTAACCTTCCTTCCCATTCGCGGAAATGCACTCGGCATCTGTTTCACTGCATCGTGCGCTTTCGATGCATTTCGTCTCCGAAATAAATTTGACAAAAGCGACCAAGTTACTCTCGAACAAGCGATACATTCGCGAATTTGTGATTGACCACGAAAATAGAGATCGGTGAAGGATTCTCGTCGTCTATACAATTTTTTTCGATAGTTTTGCGAGTCATAAAACAGCGAAAAAAACTTTGCTCGAAGAATTCTTCACTCAGACGCTATTATTATATGCGTATTTTCCTTCAGTCGGGAAAACTCGCGTCGCAGGAGGACGCGCCGAAGGCAGATGTCTCGCAACCGAGGCCTGCGGTCGCGGGGCATCCGTCAACTTGCGGCGCGACTCCGATGTCGAGCGCGAGCCTTTCGACTTTCGATTCGTCGCGTTTTTTCTCTCGGGAAAAATTGCGTAAACAACAACGACGACGCAGCGTACGTCTGCGTCGACGTCGCAAGACGCCATTTTTCCGCCGACACTTTTGAATCCCTCTTCCGCGGGAAATCCGAATACGATTTGCCGTTTTGCTATTTTTTTTTACCCCTTACTCGAGCGGCGGCTGCATAGAGGTTTGAAGACAAAACCAAAAACAAAAAAAAAATATAGTTAGGTCGAGCGAAAGAGAAAAAAAGATGAAAGAAAAGAAGAAGAAGCACCTGCGCCTATAAAAATATAGACACACAAAAGTTTGTACATATGCATGAGGGTCGATCGCGCGCGTGCGCGCGATCGATTCATCCACCAGTCAATCGAAAGCAATTGACGAAAGAGCTCAGCCTGGAAGAATAAGAGGGGAAGAAAAGGAACGAATCAACGTTTGGAAGAACGAACTGACTGAACCAAAAATGCAAAGGCAAGTCGTGTCGAACATATCATCGGCGAAGTGTCGTTGCGTGAACAGAGAGAAATCCGTAAGCATGATAATTAAGACGATAAATGTTCTCATTTTGAACTTTGAGAAAAATTTTATTGTATTGAAAATTCATATTTTGAACGTTATCGCGTTTCGACAGAGTCGAGTTGCAATGTGTCCGACGCCGGTGGCCTGTATCTCTTTCATCTAATATCGCTGAATAATTTTTTCAAAATAATTTTTTATTATTTTTATTTCGGAGACACCCGATGATATCGAGAAATGAAGCACGAAAAGTTTCAAGAACTGGCGCGATTCTCTTTTCTGTTCACGCACATATTTGTCTCGTGTGTGTCTGTATGTGTGTGTATGTGATGTCTGTGTAATATATAAAGACAAAGGTCAAAGGTTACGTCTCGAACCATTACAAACAATATTATAGTAATCTGGCTTCAGAACATGGTTAACCATAGGTGGAATTATTTTACGAAACACCGAAACTGAGAGACTCACAAGCAGGAAGAGGAGGGTGTTTTCCTTCGTTTAGAGTTGACCGATCTCACGTTAACATTGCGCATCTGGTAGTCTGCAATGCAAAACACATTTTGGTAGGGTCAGGGACAAACGACGGCCTTTGATGAGATGATGAGAAACGGAAAATAGGCGACTTCTCTTTCTCTCTTTATTTCACTCTTTCTCTTTGTCTCTCACTCACTCACTCACTCACTCACTCACTCACTCACTCACTCACTCACTCTCTCTCTCTCTCTCTCTCTTTCTCTTTCTCTCTCATTCTCTCTTTTTTATTCTCTCTTGTCGCCTTTGTAGAATTACTTCGACCAGACTCGCTGCAAAACACCGAATAATTAAGCGGTGTTTAATCAATCCAAATAGAAACATTTTCATGATGTTAATATTGCTACGATAAATTAACGACTCGATTAAAAATCAAATTTTCATAGTATTTATTACGTTTGTATTAGACACTTTGGTTACAAAAAAACAATTTTTTTATTAATCAATTATTTGATCATCGTCATAGATACATTTTTCTATCGTGACCGACAATGAAACGTCGCTTAATTACACGACAGCGACTCTCTTTCTGGTCGCCGTTTCTCTCATTTGCCGCTTTCTCCTCTCCGTCCTGCGCTCTTCTCTTTTTTCTCTTTTTACCACTCTTTGCTCCGACATTTTGTCTTTCACTCTATCTCTGTTCGTTAGGTCGGAGCAGCGCGCACAAGTCCCCTCTCTCGTCGATTTTCTCGTTCGCACTCTCTTTCGCCGCCCGTCAAAGAAAACAGGAGAGGTCGATAGTTGCAATCGATTACGATTATATAAATCGCAACACACTTCATGTGGTTCAAGTAAGAAACGATGGTAAATATGCATTGTAGGTCACACCTCACCGATTTCGGTGCGTTTTAGAAACGTTGTAGAGCAGGTCACGCCGAGTAATTATCTAAGACGTTGTCTACAATACAGTCGTAAGCCGTAAGAAATTGACCAATCACAATCGATTATTCTTCCGTGATTTGTCTGTGATTGGTCAATTTCTTACGGCTTACGACTGTATTGTAGACGGCGACCTAAAACAATTTCGTAGGGGACGACCTTTGGTTTCGAAGATATGGCAATTTAAAGTTTCTGAACAATACTATTTTTATGTACTTCTTTTTGTACGCGTTTAGACAGAGGGGCGACTTTGACCCTTTTCCTGCTCCCCCCTTCGGAAAATTATGTAAATACTTTCGATACGAAGCGACATTTATAATTGGATTCTGTGCAATGAAAAAATAAGAAATGACTTATATACAGATATTTTAGTTCTTTCTTATATTGAAGGCGGATAATGTTTTGTATCGTAATATCAAAAACCCGCTTGTAAAACGTTCCAGTAAATGCATAAAAACGCACACGTTCGCGATTTAAATTCCCATCTGCTCCGCACCATGAACATTTAATATGTGAATAACTTTACGATCAACAAGAAAATCTATTAAATTTCTCGCTGTTCTCAACAGAACTTAGAAATTCATGTAGTCGCATGTAGAAAGCTATTAACAAACTGCGTAAAAGTGAAATGAATTCTTTGACTAATTATGAATTACCTTGTAGCCTTTGTTTACATTTTTCAACACATCATTGTCCGACTGAACTTCACTGTTCGTAATATCAGCTCTTATAACATCTAAAGTATTAAAATTCTGAAAATTCAAATTGGCATATATCTCCTCATCCCCTGCGAAATTTTTTAAAATAATTACTCAGTATGACCTGTCCTACAACTAATATAAAGCGCAACAAACTCGGTGAGGTGTGACCTAAAATGCATATTAACCGGAATAATTGCTCCAAATTTATAGCCACAAACAAAAAGTTTATCTACAATAGATATTACTTAGTAAATTACACTTAATTATCAAGAAAATAACAATATATTCTTGTATATTGGTTAAAGAGTTTAATATTTGTACGTTTAATGTAAATTTTACACTTATTTATTTATTGACTCGACATAAAAAAAGAAGGGCGTTAAATCAGTGAAACAACAAGCAAAAAATATGTTTTTGACTTTATGTGACCGCGCGTAAATGTAACTTCTGATTCTACATCCGATTGCAATACAACTGTGTGACTACTTACGCGTCGTAGCTGACGAAAGGTAGATCCTTACTTGAATTGCTGTGTTTCGGATTCATTGATTTCTTTTTTTCTCAAGTTTGTTTTTGTTTGTTTTCTCGAGAGGAACCGAAACGGCGGCGAAAGGGAAGTCGCATAGGGACACATTTCGATTGAAAGTACCTTTAGATTTGCTCGCCGTTTTATAAAATACAGAAGTATATACGCCGCGTGTATCGATCGAGAGGAAGAAACGCAAATCAAATGGACAGACTTAACAAAGTCTGTCGTTGCGTTTCTCTCTTTCTTTCTCTCTCTCTTTCTCGCGTACATTCACGCACTCATTCACTCCCTGTTTCTCTCTCTCTCTCTCTTTCTCTCTCTCTCTCTCTCTCTCTCTTGCCTGGGGGCAACCGAAACTACTGGTAGAAGTCCACTCTAAATTCGAAACGAAATCAACGAGCCGAACCGAGCGGCCGCTTTTGCGAAAGCGGGAGAGAACTTCCTTTTGGTCTTCCGGCTCGATCGGTCAAGCTCTTGATCCACACAGCCGCTTCCTTTGGCACCGGAGCCGGAATCCGAGGATCCTGAAATCTCTCTGAATTCGACATTCCGGGAACTCGATAATCCAGAAATTCGAGCTCTCGAAAATCCGAGAATCCCATAATTAAGAGACTCGAGGATTCGAGAAAGTCTTCGACCGCAGGATCCACGGATTCTCCTCCGCCGGTCTTCGGATGTCTTCGAGGATCCACATGGATATTTTTACAAGAAACGTATCTTTTAGTTATTCGTATTCGTATACTACAATTAATAAATCAGATCATAACTTTATTTTAACAGAACAAATTGTCGAAATAAAAATTTTGGCTATACCGTACGGAAGCTCGAGGACGTCCTGGTCCTGAAAAGAAAATCGTTATATGCTTTTCCTGCGACAGGATGCAGAGAGCACACGCGCGCGTGTGTGTGCAATCTGCACGCGTACGCATGTATGTGTCGGGGCTGGGGGTGGTGGTGGGGAAGCATTGTTAATGCACGCCGTATTTAATCCACGCGAGAAGCGATCGGGGAACGTAAACGGACGTAAGCGGGAATAAAAAGAGCTGAATATCTGTCGGGACCGGCGATTTGCTCGTCCTCCTCGTCGTCATCCTCGTCCTGCGCTCGCGTCCATCGCTCCTTGTCCATCGACATCGCGCGCATGCACTTGCAGCCGATATATTTTTCCATTCGCCTACGTTCGTCGTCGTCTCTTTTTGCCTGCTGCGAGATGGACGATTTAAAAAAAAAGGAGAGAAGAAGGATAGAAAGGGGAGAGAGAGCGCGGGTTTGAGCGATCGGGAAGCTTTTTGGGACTCTCGCTCCACGCCGATTAGTCGCCGGAAGCATTATCGAACTGAATCAATATATAGCATACATATACATATATATATAGCGCGTATCTTCCGTCTTTCTCGTGTTTGAAAAATATATTTCCAACAGAAAATTAACCTTAGACCGCCGCGGCGCGCCGCCATGATGCTGCATGGCATCGCTATTAGGACGCTAGTATTGTACCGTATTTTAGAGAAGAATTCTCTTTCATCTGACTTGATTTGTGAGAAAAAATATTTAGAAAATCTAAATATGTTGTTGTGGATAGCGTAGTTTAGTTCTCGCCGTAATCTGAGATACAACATTTATTGATACACGATTATAGCTTGGTAATAATACTGGTAAAAATACTGTGTATTGAAAGACTTTTGCAATTCGACTTCAAAAACGTAACCAGCGATATGAAAAATCTCCAGAAACACCAGTTTTCAATTTGAAAATTTTCAACTTTTCACTTCCGTTCCCCGCCAACCTGGTGCCGATCGGAGCCGGATGAAAATTTAGGGCACTCCACGCACTATAACAAAAACTCAATTTATATACAAATGTAGCGGAAAAATACCATGTGTTTTTAATGAAAAAAATGCTGGCGGTCTAAAGGTTAAATATGTAAAAAGAATCTTATATCGCTTTGTGTACTCTTCGATCTGATTTGATCTACTTCCGAAGATAAATATTTAATCGATGCATAGCTTTTGTTTGAAAAATGTGCGTGAGAAGGCCAGATATAGTTGCAATGACGAACGTCGCGTTGCGAAATGTTATTATATATAACATTTTAAGTTTTGAGTTCTGTGCGTCTTTGAACGCACAACGTGTTTGTTGCATTCCTCGGGCGCGCCATTCAACGGCAACGCTTTTTGCTGACGGTGTTTTAATTAACAGCAAAATTAATGTCTCTTGATCAAATTATTAATTAAAATCGACTGCCGCAACGCGCGGCTATTTATCGAATCGCTAACGATCTTGCTCCGTAACACGCGCGCGCCTTCGTCGAATCGAACAGCGCAAACAAACCCGAATGTCCGTCATTCTTGTCGCCTCGCGGCAGAAAAATATGGTCGATTATTAAAAAAAAGGGGGGATGGCGGTCGAGTAAGAAGTTGAGACTATTTTTGAAGTTGAGTTATTTCTTCGTCCGCGACGACGGCGCGCGAACCGATTATTTCCCCCCAGTCGCGAGGAAAAGAGGAAATCAAAAAATCAGCCTGCGCGCGCGTCCATCATTCACGATTCAAACTCAGATGACTACTGTCGTCATTTCACCATTTCAGCATTTCGGCAAGGAAAAAAGCCATTTTTCATTCTCCAGACGATGAGAAAACAGTAATGTGTGTTTATTACAATCGTTTATAATATATTTAATCGGTTATGTATATTGTAAGAAGTTTATTCGTTAAAATTCGATTGGTTACAAATTACATCAAATCTGCTAATTATATTTCTTTATTAATATAATACATTTGCAAATGATAAGAGAGCAACGATGTTTTGTATAACGTATTTATTCTGTGATAGATTACATATTAAGCGCTTTGCGTCCGTGTTTACAAGAATTTAGAAATTGGAAAAATTGACAGGGATCGCGGCT